ATGCAGTGTCACACGTTGTGTTCCATTCGTGTATTCCACTAGATTTCCGTGTCAAATCAGTGAGTGGTCTAGCCGTCCGGGAGAAGTCTTTGATGAACTGCCTGAAAAACTGGAGTAGTCCCACAAAACCTCGGAGTTCCGTCAGCGTTCGTGGCTTTGGCCACTCGCGTACAGCTTTCATGCGATCAGACCCCACCCTAATTCCGTCCTTTCCGACAATGAGACCTAGGAATTCAGTCTCGGTCTTCATAAACTCACATTTGCTCCTTCCAGCGTACAGTTCATGGTTCTTTAATCTTGAAAGCACAGTTTCCAAATGTCGTCGGTGCTCTTCTTCGCTGCGGCTAAATATGAGCAAGTCGTCAAGGTATACGACCATAAAAACGTCTATGCAGTCGTGAAAAATAGCAGTCATCATGGATTGAAACGTGGCCGGCGCGTTGCATAACCCCATGGGCATAACGAGGAACTCGAACTGCCCATACTTCGTGGTAAAAGCAGTCTTTTCAATGTCAGAAGGACGTACACGAATCTGGTGGAAACCAGATTTAAGGTCAATCTTCGAAAAGAATCGTGCTTTGCCTAATCTGTCAAACATTTCATCCGTGCGAGGGATGGGAGTGTTGTTGCGCTTTGTAATACGGTTCAGACCACGGTAGTCCACTACGCCCCGGAGCTTCCCTTTCTGCTTCACAAAGAAAAGCGGAGCGCCAAATGGAGACTTGCTACGTCGTATCTTGCCTTTTTGGAGCAAATCCTCAATGTACTCCTTGGTTGCTAAAAGCTCGGCAGGAGAAAGCTGAAAGAGGGGTTTGTGCGGAGGCTTGGCTCCGGTGTCGACCTCTATTGCGTGGTCCACTGCTCTTTTGGGCGGCAGGCCATCCGGTAAATCGTCCCGGAAAACTGTCGAAAATTTCTGCACTAATTCCTGAACCGGTCTTGCATACGTGGCTTTTGGCTTATCCTGATACAATTTTGCCTCCGAGGACTGCATTACGCAAAACACTTCGAACCCCGCTTTGTTCCTCTTTTTCCTGAGCAAGGACCTAAACTTCTTGACTCCAATGGGCTCCACTTTCACCCGTCTCCGGCTCTTTGCTTGGACAGGTAGAGAGTTCCCTGCTACTCTTACCGTTCTCTGTTCGTAATTTATGGCTGGGTTGTGCTGCTGATGCCAGGGCATTCCGAGGATCACGTCATAGCGTGAGTTCGCGACTGCCCAGTTGCTGGTGTAGCGGTGGTTGCCGATCTGGATGGTAGTTTCAAAAACCATCTCATGTGCCTTCTCTGTCGCGTCTCTGTCGGAGTGAGCGATCGTTACATTAGCTGGTCTCACGTCCAAAAGGCCTCTGTTCAGCCTCACAAACTCGGACGATAACACGTTGGTATTGCATCCATCATCCTTGAGGACCATCACTACTTTCCCTTTAACAGCGCCGCTCAGCTTTAAAAGTCGCGAGGTAGGGATGGTGTTCAAAGCATCACACTTTCGACTAGCGTGTGCGGCTTGCGAGCTCGGGTTACGAGTTTCTTCCTCGTCTTTTACCTGCTCGCGCTCAATTGGTCCCCCGTGATTGAGCAGTTCTTGATCCGGGGGACGTGTTAGTTTTCCGGGTCTGAACCGTCCGACAAGACGACTCCGGCTTCCTCCTCACCGTTATCTACGGCGCTGGAATTGTTGATTTCACTCTTACGATGTTTCCACGGACGGCAACCGACCTTATGGCAAATGAAACAAGCGTTGCTGGCTCTGTCCTTTTTTTTCTGCAGATAATCCTTTTTGCTTCCTCGAGAGGAGCCTTCAACATTTCCTATTTCTATAGGAACAACGTCATTCGTTTGATCGTGGTTTGAATGATAACCTCCTTTTGAAATCATTTGGCTGCTCCAGAGAGCTCCGTCAACACGCAGTGCGATCTGTGCAGCTTCCTCAAAATTGGCAAGGGTCGACTTCATGACCTCGATGCGAATTTCTCTTTTTAACCCTGCCACAAACTTGTCGAATTTCTCGCCATCGGTGACATCTGCGATCGTCAATAAGATGTTCCTGAATTCTGAGAGATAGTGGGAAACCGACTTGGTCTGCTTGAGTCGTCTGAGCTTGTCCCTAGCCCGTCGTATGTGATCTGTTGGAACAAACTCAGCGACAAGCGCGTTATTGAACCCATCCCACGTGATTGGGGCCTGATTTGCCCTTACAGTACTGTACCACCAGATGGCTGCTGATCCAGAGAGAAACGTTGTGGCAAACAATATCTTGTTTCCGTCATTAAAATCCAATGTCGGGTTCACAACGGCTTGCATGGCGATGTACTGTTCCAGCTTGTAGATCCATGTATTGACAGTTAAGAAATCCCTTTTACCCTCATACGTCTCGGGCTGCTTGGGACGCAGAGTGATCGCCTGATGGTTCATCGTTGTCTGAAAGATACCGGAAAAGGACTTCACAGTACTGACTTTTCCGGTGCGATGCTACCAGTGAAACAGTTGACAATTGACAAGCTTTACTTGATGAACTATTTCGCGATGATGCCTATCGTATGCTGCCCCCTCTCTACTTATACTGGTTTCCTTCACTACTCGTCGATAGGGGCTCGATGAAACATAAATGCATCGGAGAGGTAGCGTGCCTGTAAATGCAATTGCACGGCAGAAGGACAGTGCTCTCTTAAATGCAGACGAACCTTTAGTAGAGCGACTTGGCTCGCGGCCTCACGGTATGTCCCACCTGCGCGCTTTGAGCGCAACAATTATCTTGACGCCAATTAATATGAATTGTTGCGACCTTTCGGAGCTGCCGTACTGAGCATTTGGGCTCCATGGTGCTTCTTGGATCAAGGTGTTGCAGCTCAGTCAAATGTCCGTTCGTTTCACTACTGCGCTACAAGTACACTTTGTGTCGAGATCGTTTGACATTGTCATTGTCAGCAGACATGCCGCTCTCATCCAGATTGATAATTCGTTTCGCATCGATGTTGTGCTCCGCTATGAGGCGTTCTAAAGCTGCTTGGTGCTTGGTTAGCACTTCGGCATTTGTAGCGATATAACGTTTTGCGTCTTGCTTACACGGTTTTCGGAATGAAAAAACCCCAGCGTGTCGCTTCTGAAAGTTTCGACAAAACTTCTCTCCCGGCCTGGTGTTCTCAAATCGCAGTTTTTGACGACGGTTCAAGGGGAAGTTGCTAACTAAATTGTGAACTGCATCCTTGAGATCATCACGTCCCACTTAACGACCATTCCGGCTGTGCTCCAGCAGTATTTCTATAAGTTGACCTTCTTCCTCAGCAGTGAGTGAGCATCTTCTAAGGGGCAATTCGCGGTTATTGACCAAATAACGAAACTCGGAGACTGACATGCGCGCAATGTGAGCTCCTTTTCTGATACTGCTCCCCTTGTCAACGGCCACGAATGCTTGTTGGAGAAAACGGTGGTACCGACCAAGTCCATTGCGGCGTGGCACGATGGGTGTGGATTTGGCCATGAGAGTTCCCATGGAGGGTACTGTAAAAGTGAAGGAATGAGGGATAGTTGGTAGTCTGAGGTCTATGGTTTGGCACTACGAGGGAAGAAGTTGGAGTATCATTGTCTTGGGATATATGCCTTGGGGACATGGATTCTTCAGCGACCCCGAACGACCGTTTATGTCCCAGAGCCCGCCCTTTTTTGAATCGCCAACAGCAAAATGACCATTCTGAGGGTACAGAGCGCGACGAAGCCAATGGTGGTGTCCAAAGCAGTCAAACACCACTCCTCGCGCTGGTATTGGGCTTTCCCAGTTGTGCACCGAAGGTCAATGAAGTGTGCAAGGACCCGCACTTCTATAATTTATTTACTTTTGGCAGATTTTGCCAATGTTCGAATGTATGGTCACGTGTTCGAACATGTGGGCAACCCGCTGTACGTCACATGGGTCGATCTCCTGTCACTCGAGGGTGACGTGTTTTGGATTTTTTTCTGGATAGCCTTGTTGGCTTGGGTTCTTTGGCCAATGGCAGAAGTGCATCTCGCCGTCTTAAAAGAGCTTGCCGCAAGCTCGCTGCTTACGCTGTACCATCCAATGTCGATATTCTGTTTCACTGGGTATCTACCGAACACAAGCCTAATGATGCTGCGTCCCGCCGTTATGCCCCCCGGAACTCCTCTCGCCGCTCAGATCGAAACCACTCTCAATTCTGTCTCTGTTCTACAACGCAATGCAGTCGCACCTCAAGCTTTCCAAGTGTATGGTGCCGGCGTCCTTCGCTTTTCCGCATTCTGTCTCGAGCGGGACTTACTGTCTTCCTCTGCGGACCACGTGGATGATGCCCTCCAAAACGTTTTACTCTGGACATGTCAGGATGACCCGTCCCGGGGCGTTAAGACTAGGATAGTACATGCTGTATTTGGCTATGAATTAATTGTCCCCGCACACCATAAGAAGCTAGTAGGCTGTCGTTTGGCCCTCCGTGGTCGGGACCGCCTCGTTCCTCGCCAGTCCCCCGCCTCTTTCCTACACTATTCTCAATGGAATCGCATGTGAATATGAAAAGCGAGGTCTCTTGGTTTATAATATTGCGTTTCGCTTGCAATTTAATTGCTATCTCCGGGCAAACGAACTTCTTAACTTAACCGTCCAATACATTGCGCTTCCAGGTGATACCCGACTTCTGCATTGGGGTCTACCATATCTTGCTGGCTTGCGCCTCCGAGAGACTAAGACGGGTCCTAACCAGTTTGTGCGCATTTCGGATCCGTTTGTGCTCCAGATCCTGCCCACTTACGTCTTAGCTCGCTGCCTTGAAGTTGGCTCTCGAGGGAAACTCTTTCCGTTGCACTATGAGACAGTTCTGTAGTGCAGTGACCCTGTACTGTACGCCTGGTCACCGTCGTCGTGGGGCCGCGCTCCCCGCCTTTGACACGTGTGTCACACGTGTGCTCATCCAAAGTGTACGCGTACACTTTGGATGATACCACACGTGTACTGTGCGCGCACACTTGGGAAGGTACCCCACTGTAGAGCAATGTGTACACGTAGAGCAGCGTGTACACATGATGATGCATGTACCCAGCACAGTAGACGATGGGATCAATTTGACCCCTGCAACGAGAGCTACGGTTTTATATCGGCTTTAACAATTATGCGGAAGGGTCGAGCTATTCTCCAACAAGCGCGTGGATCCGCGCTTTCTGTACGCAATAGGGTAAGGATACATAAGGGAGCTATTCGTCCATCCAGCTGCGTTTCGGTAGATTATTCAGCAGCAACAGTAAAGGTTCAAGAAATCCATTCTGTGCATTACGAGCTAGGGTCGTAGTGCAGCAAACATAGTCTCAACCTCTCCACATTCCTTGGGAAACAGTAGGCGCCCGCGTTCCTACTGACGGAGACACCACCTTACAGCACAACATCGCCGATAGTCCACTTTCGGCCTGAGGCGCTGTGCAGACAGTGCGATTCTGTCGACATTCGCGAATTAAGTCAGACGCCGTTTGTCCTGGAAAGGTACTACAATGCCTTTACGAAGTGAGAGCCCATGGGGCAATATTGTCCTGCATAATGACATGCAGAAAGGTTTGGAAAATTTGTTCAAAGGATATGCATGTGCTGAGCCTTCTCTAGAAGGCGAAACTCTCCTGTCCGTTATTCGAGAAGACGTATCACATATGCAGTTCGTTCATCCGGAAATCGTATTCAACTACGAAATTTATTAACGGATCAGGATTTTTTTACAAGGGAAGGGAGTGACAATCCCTCAGAATCAAGAGACTGGAAGCTTGATTGCAAGAAGAGTTATTGCAGCAATTTGGAGCGGTGACGATCTATCAATGCAGCGTAGGCAGGCCTTGGCCTATCTGGACGCCTGTCGGAATGGGGATTTCATGCCAAAGTCTCCACAAATGACACCAGGTAACCTTAATAATCCTGTTCGGCACCTATTCCCCAATTCACCGGTGAATGGCGGACAAGCAGGATCAAGAGGGTCCGAAAGTTCAGCACATGGCACCGAACAGTATGAGAACAAAAGAGCCTCGTTTTTTGCTTCCAGATACCGGTCTCAGCGTGAAAAGTTTAGAGGGGATCTCGAGGAAAATCGGAGTGATCATATTTCAACCTTTATGGATTATTGCAATGACTTCAGGATTTCCCCCAATGACCGCGAGTGCTATCTACACTATTCCCTTGCTGGAGATGCTCTTATCTACTTCAAGGAGCAGGTGAAGGGTAGGTTCCGCAGCTGGGGAGAATGTGTCGGGAAATTCAATGACAGATACGCATCCATCACTAAAATGGAAGAAATGACGGACAGGTTGGAAGACCTCCACATTTCTTTGTTGAGAAACGATGGAAAACCGTATAGATACGCTCTTGATTCTCTTATCAAAGAAATTGATCGCCTTGCACCAATGGCGCACAAAGAGGACCGGTCTGATAGACGCAAACGAAAATTCCTCGAAAACGCCGTGCAAGGAGTCCCGTGGGCGAGGTCTGTTTTGATGCAGACCCACACCAAACTACTGAACTATAGACAGCTGGCAGATGAACTTTTCAATGCCGAGCACGCTGATAGACAGTTCTCTATTGGGGCGCAAAGATTGGAGACGAGCAAATCTATCCGCCGCGATGAGGCTACGCTTCGGCAGTCCAGATGGAGAAATGATCCCTCAGTAAATATCTCTGAGGACTGCAGCGAAGTACATTTCGCAGGACAAGGTCGTTATGGTCGCCCTCCGATGAGCTCTTCATCTTTTAGACCAAAACAGCAAAACAATCACCAGGCCCATGCACACGATCAACCAATGAAAACCCCGCCATTTGTGGGAAGTTGCTGGAATTGTCTAAAGAAGGATTGTCGCTTAAACTCCTGCCCGCACCCGCGTAACCATGAGAGAATTAAGAAAAACAAAGCTCTTGCTCGAAATTGGTTCCGTGAAAATGCTCGAAAGGGCACTTTTGAACCAAAGTCTCAAAGTCATTCCAGAAGACATGAGAGGAAGTACGAAGAATATGCATACGTGCCGGGCGGAGCCGGTGACAAAGACCTTGACTCTTCTGACGAGGGTTTCTAACCGGGGGTATTCATGGCCGAAATATCCCCAAACCAAGGCCCAAACCACCACCTGAGAAACATTCACGGACGACAACAACGTCTTTCGATCAAAAATGTGCTAAGGGAATCCATGCTCGCGCCGCGTCAATGGCAGTAGCAGATCCTTCTTCATTACCCTCTCTATCGCCTTTTTCTGCATACATCGTCAAACAAAGTCCCAATATTTTGGCACGCAAGCCGATGATCCATATCTACTCCAAAATAAAATTCGAAGGAGGATGCATGGATCCTGGGGCAGAAAAGTCAGTGTGCGGCCTTAACCAAGCACAAGCATACTGCTGAATGACCACCCAGAAACTCAATCTTGCACCATCCCCCTATACGTTTAAATTCGGGGACGGATCACGACACAGTCTTGGCCATATGACATTTCGAATGCCGTCCGATCAGAACTCCTTCATTTCGCTCTCTATCGATGTTGTTGACGCCGATATCCCACTGCTCATAGGGCTTGACGTCCTAGACAAGGCAAATATATACGTCGACAATGTCCATAACCGGCTTGTCCATGGGTCTGGAAAATGGTTTCTGCCTCTAGAACGCAAGCGTGGGCATCTTTTTCTACCTTGGACTACTGCATCAATACTGTTTACACGGAAGGAGCTCCAAAAACTGCATGAACACTTTTTTCACCCCAGTGCTGAGAAGCTATACAATTTAGTCAAAAGAGCAAGACCGCAAGAGCTTTCTCCTCAGACGCGCCAAACGCTGGATGACATATCTAGAGCATGCCGGTCCTGCAAACTCTTCACAATGAAACCGTATCGCTTTAGAGTCTCAATACCCGATGAAAACATCATCTTCATTCAAGAAGTTGCCCTCGACCTCATGTTCATCGATCGCACTCCCATTTTACACATAGTGGACACGCATACCCACTATCAGAACGCCATTCCATTGAAGGGAGAATCAGCCGCAGATGTTTGGGAAGCCTTTGTCGAGGCATGGGCAAGTATGTATGCAGGATTTCCGTCCAAAATACGAGCAGATCAAGGCTCTATTTTTACATCGAACTACTGGCGAAAGTGCACGGAAGACGTAGGAATTGAACTACAACTATCTGGTGTCGCCTCGCACAATTCAATCGGTGTAGGAGAGCGCTACCACGGTCCGCTGCGTCGCGTCTTCCGTTCCATCAGGTATGCGCACCCATCCATTGATCCCGAACTCGCCCTGCGCTACGCAGTCAAGGGGATCAACGACACGTCAGGCCCTGAAGGTCTCGTTCCGTCCTTGCTCGTTTATGGAATGCTACCCCGATTCCCTACGCCGTCGTCTTCGTTACCGGATCAAGAGCACCGAATGCGTGCGCTAGAGACTGCGCGTAGAGAAATGTCAACTATGACATCCCGCTTACGTATTCAGCAAGCCCTCCGAGCGAAGCTTCCCCCCGCCACTCGATATTTGGTAACTCCGGGCGATCGTGTGTTTGTCTACCAAGAGAGAAGGAAAGCGTGGACTGGACCCTACACAGTACACAAAATCCACGAAAAGGAAGTTTTTGTGCACGTGGACGGAGCTCTCAAACATTTCAACCTGTCGCAGGTGTTACCTGACCCCGTAACATCCGGTGACAAGGAAATCGAGCGCTTGCTGCAGGCTACATCCCACTTCACATCCAAAGGAGGATCCGGACACCACGCATACATCACCGAAGTCCTCCATCCTCGAGACCCACGTAGATCCAGCGATTCTTTTCAAACCGCCAAAGCCAAGGAGCTTGAAGGGTTGGCTCATCGAGGGGTATACGAAATCGTTTGCTATGAGGATATTAAACATATTCGAAATCCAAATATCCTCGGCGGTAGATTCGTTCTGTCGATAAAGAACAGTGGTACACACGACGAAGTATATAAGGCACGTTTCGTAGTCCGGGGCCACACGGACATTGAGAAAAATATGCTCGTCCATAACTCTACGAATCTGAAGCAAAACTCGATACGTGTTTTAGTCGCCCTGGCGTCCATTTTTGGCTTCTCTTTGTGGTCACAAGATGTATCGCAATCGTATTTGCAGTCTGCAGAAAAACTCATGAGGGAAGTCTATGTACGCCCGAACAAGGAATTTGGACTGCGCAAAGATCAGCTACTACATCTGCTTAAGCCTCTTTATGGTCTAAGCGATGCCGGCGACTACTGGCATGCAACCTTCTCTCGCCACTTGAGAGACGACCTCTGCATGATGCCAACCGCAGGAGATCTATCTCTTTTCATTAAAAAGATACACGGACAACTGCATGGGATAATTGGCACACACGTGGACGACACCCTTGCAGCAGGAAACAACTCATTTGAAGAACATTCAAGGAAAACTGAACGAACTTTCGAGTCCAAAGCGCGGACATACACACCTTTCACTTTTGCTGGTATCGAAATAGAAGATACAAAAGACGGATATGTAATGCACCAATCCAAATTTGCCGTCAAAATCAATTTCATGCCGCAAAATGCTACCTTCCCTATGTTCCGATCCAAGCGCCAAGAGCTCGCCTGGCTCACCCACACACGTCCCGATGTTTCTGCAGACGTCAACTTACTCGCACAAGTTACCGAAGCCCAATTTAATCGCCACTGTATTACCGACACCAACAGGCTGATCAAAAGAATTCATCATTCCCGAGGCAGAGGCCTTATCCAGCATCGTCTGAACAAGAGCCATCTCAAGATCAAGGTCTTCAGCGACAGTTCATTTGCCAACACTCCATCCAGTCACTCACAGCTAGGCTATCTAATACTTCTATGTGATAACACGAACCGCTGTAATGTAATTCATTTTAGCAGTTACAAAAGCAGGCGAGTTGTTCGTTCGGTCATGGGAGCTGAACTATATGCTTTCGCCGACGCCTTCGATCTGGCCTTTTTATTGAAGACGGACCTTGAAACAATGCTTTCTGCTAAAGTTCCTCTCATTATGATGATTGACAGTGACAGCGTCTTCAAAGTTATTGTCAAGAATACATCAACGACCGAAAAAAGATTGATGATTGACATACGAGCAGCACGTGAAGCATACGAATCTCAAGAAATTTCCGATGTCGGATGGATCCGAGGTAGTGACAATCCTGCCGACGGGTTAACGAAACCTGGACGCTGCGAAGCTTTGGAAAATATATTGGACAGAGGACTAGTGAACATCCCGGTCCAGCAATGGGTAGTACGAACAGCACTCAACAAGACATCGTCCGGCGAAACTTATCCCCCATGCAACGTCATTTCGACCGACTTTCCGTAGCTTCGTCGTCCAAAAAACCCGGAGTGTAGAGCAATGTGTACACGTAGAGCAGCGTGTACACATGATGATGCATGTACCCAGCACAGTAGACGATGGGATCAATTTGACCCCTGCAACGAGAGCTACGGTTTTATATCGGCTTTAACAATTATGCGGAAGGGTCGAGCTATTCTCCAACAAGCGCGTGGATCCGCGCTTTCTGTACGCAATAGGGTAAGGATACATAAGGGAGCTATTCGTCCATCCAGCTGCGTTTCGGTAGATTATTCAGCAGCAACAGTAAAGGTTCAAGAAATCCATTCTGTGCATTACGAGCTAGGGTCGTAGTGCAGCAAACATAGTCTCAACCTCTCCACATTCCTTGGGAAACAGTAGGCGCCCGCGTTCCTACTGACGGAGACACCACCTTACAGCACAACATCGCCGATAGTCCACTTTCGGCCTGAGGCGCTGTGCAGACAGTGCGATTCTGTCGACACCCACGTGTACCACACGTGGACACACGTGTACAATACGTGGACACACGTGTATGAAAATCGTATGACACGTATATGATACGTGTTCGACACGTGTATGACACGTATACATACGTGGTGCTCACAAGTATCTAGGCTAATTAGCGTCTAATGCCAAGTGGAAATTTTAATGGCGATAGTTAATTGGTAATTACTCATTTTAGTAACCGACGCCGACGACGGCGCTCGGTGTATATAGGTCGGGTGTCGAAAGGCGCTACAGTAAAGAGGCGCCAGGTGATCGTACCCCATCTCTGGTAGGATCCTCTACGGTTCCTATCTAGTTGGCTAAGCCTGGTACCTGCGCCATTCGTCGTCATCCTTTTTCTTGTTTTTACTTTACTTTTTGCACTATTTTCTACATTTCTACGCTATCTTTCTTCTTCGTTCTTCTTTCTTTTTCTTGTTGTTTTCTCCTTCTAGCTCACTCCCGCTGGAGTGCACCCTCCGCGCAAACCGCGATCTACTCGCGGTATTGCGTCGAATCCCCTGAGTTACCAGGACAGAGGAATTCGAACACCCTGGTGGTGACTGTGCCTTACGTCGCGCATTCTAAAGCGAGATTTACGCCCTCGTTGGCGGTGTAGAGGTGTGGCATTTTGTTATTTGAAAATCTGACAGTGTATTGCCAGTTTTTTAACAAAATGGATGCAGTCGTTGTAAGAAAAGCTCAGTTTTTGCAATAGTGGAATGCGGTTTTTGCAAACAATGTGTACTACAGAACAGTCTTTTCTTGCATATACCGCAGTCGACTGTTGTATCCAGTTGAAGCGCATTCTCGGCCTGTCTAGTCGTCCGAAGTATGGTAAACCCTCTATTACCTACCTTTTTCGATTACAGTTTTTTGTAAGATTTCTTCTTTTTTATTAAAACGAGCAGTTTTTGATTTTGTCCAGGAGTTCATTCATGTTTTTGTCCAAGAATTGACCAACCCCCCCTTTTACCTTTTGCGTAACACGTGTACTCATCGCGGCAATAAAGACGCGCATCATTACGGGTGTATACGTGCGTGGCGTCCCGCATCGGCATTCAACAGCAATGCGGGGTGACGTCTGACATGTCGAGCGGGGACTCACTAACGTTGTCCGTAAAGTCGCGAAAATACGTGTTTTGGCCTCGAGTTTGGCCGGATTTTCTGATTGCAAAATTTTCAGACGAGTTTTGCAAAACTCACAGCATACCGAAAACTCGGGACATGTGAGTTTTCCACGAGTTTTCACATCCGCCAGATTACTGTACGGCAGTGCCGGATCGACCCGTCTTGAAGGAAAGCGAAGTGGGGTTTCCGCTCTCGCATCAGCACAAACGAGTCTCATACTGCACGGTTCGTACCGGTTTGCGTCATGGACGCCCCTATCACTTCATCTACCCAGAGTCCATCAACGGATCGAAGCACCACAAGATCTGCCACATATGCCGCTAAAGCAATCGCAGAAGACAGACAAGTAGAAGCTTCTAAAAAGCGGTCCTCTCTAAACGGCCCCCCCTCAGCCCGTCAAGAAGACGAAACACATCGCCCTTTCGACTGAGAACTATTCTATCCTTGTGGCGGGCTACAATATTCGCGTCAGCGAGTATTCGCCCAGGTGCACGTGATCCGTCCGACGGCACAACGATGTACAGGGGGGGGGGGGGGGGGGGGGCACGCGCAATAGTGCCGCTTTCATTATTGCCACCCTCGAATTAGTGCCGCAAATACCGGCAGACACAAATTCTGCCACGTGTCATGCACGACGTCGTCATCGCCCAATCCTCATGCGCCTCAGCTCAATTGGTGATGGCACCTCACTCAAAGACCCTAACATGAATCCTGAAAAGATCGCCAAAGCGAAGCGTACGCGCCTTACGATTGCACAGAAAATCGAGGTTGGGCATCTGCTGCAGGTCGGAAAGTTGGTCGAAATGAAACAGAAATTGATAAATCTATGGTGGATGGTATAGTAGGGTTTCTCTCCCGACTGAGCCTGGTGCCAGAAGACGGCCTTGCAGAAACTGCAGAATTCTGCAGGAAAGATGTGGAGGAATGGATTGAGATCGAGACTAATGAGCTTGTGGCAGAAACTTCTATTAGTGATGCTTGCGATTCAATACATTATGGTGGAGAGCTACAGAATCAGTCTGCCAATGATGCTCTGATGGATGATTGTGTGGCAGAAGGCGAGTGTGAAATTACGGAGAGGCGGGCTGTACCGAGTGCTGTAGTGTTAGCAAGGTTGTTTGGGTCTTTGGAGAGTCTGGGTGTGCAGTGCGATGTGAGCAATGCCTTATCGCACTTGAGGTCCGCAAAACGAGCTTTTCTAGAAGCTAGGCATGAGAGACAGGGTCAAAGGCAACAACAGCAGACTCTAATAACAAACAGAGTTCTGGCCGGGTAGTGATTCTGCTTTCTGATTGTGCCGCTCCGAATTAGTGCCGCATTATTAGTCCTTACACAGGGCGGCACTAATGCGTAGGGTTGACTGTACCAGACTTGTGTTTGTTGCGGGCAGGTTGCTTGCTGGAGGTCAGTCCGCAAAACTCGTGGTGGGATTTTTCAAACTCGGGTTTACTTTACGTCCAGCGAGTTTGTGGGCAAATGGAAAAAAACAACGCGTTATTTTACGGACAACGTTACTGTAGAGGCCATTTAAATTTAGGGTCAAAGTGTAGATTTGGGGGATTAGATTTATATTCTCGAGCATTGGTTTGTGGCCATATCATAATCTACAAGCATGCAGAACCAGCTTCCATTTCGGCAAATACTGCAAGCACCAGCACACCTAACCTATGGCGTTCGTGCCTTCCAATAGGGCGAGTTCTTAAAGATACTGTTGTCCTTCGGCGTCGCTGCGAAAAGCTCGACGCCTGGTGGGGCGATGTACGTAAGCTTGGCCGCCGCGTGACAGTCGATCCAGACCGGCTCCTCATACGTCTTCGCCCCCCCGCTGTCCACTTCCATCTCCGCCGACGAGGAGGAGTCTACCCCGGAACACTCGGACGCCACTGTTGACTCCTCGCTCCACCTCTCACGCTCATACGCTTGCATCACGTTGCGCTGCACCCACTCTCCTGTCCGCGCCTTAGCTCGCACCCGCCGCCCCATATCCTCAGGCACCGTCACCCGCATTACGTGCTTAGTCATACCCTCGCACAGGTCATATGTCTCCCAGTGGCACCCGTCCCCTAACGATAGATACTTGCCGATCCCCGACGACCCGAACCATCGCTCCAGTCGGTCCCCTGTATTGGTCTTCGTCCCTGCTTCCTCCTCCTGCCCAGCCTCCTCGCCCATCGTTTCCGACACGGGTTCGCACACCTCACAGCTATCCTCCTCGGCGCTCAGCTCCACCCACGTCGCGCTCTTGATTCCCGTTACTTCGAACCGCGGTCGCGTTGATCCTGCACGCGGTGGCAGCACCCCGACGGTCAGCTCCAGCCGCAGCGCACGACACATCTGGCTTGGCGGCACCCCACAAACCTCGGCGCCGATCAGACCCGAGTTGAAGCTCCCGATTCTCACGTTTGTCCGGGATGGGGTAAACCCGCACCCTTGCTCGGGAGAGACAAGCTTGACCAGGTCCGTCTGGACCTCGTCCGACTGAAGGAACTCCAGGCCGGCTTGTCCGTATGTACTAGGTTTGTGCAGCTCGCAGATGGTGATGTGTGACACGACTGTCATCCATGGGGGAATGGTTCGGCGCCCCGTGGGAACAGAGATGACGCGCTTGATGAACTGGCACAGCTGGGTGTCCGGCTTGCCCCTCACTGGCAGGAGCTTGTCCACTTTGGCCTTCTTGGCCCTGGGCTGCTCGCGGTAGTGCAGGCTGTCCCTGTCTTGCGGGATGAGGGCGCGCGACTGGGTGAGGTTGAACCAGTGCTCAGAGATCTTGATGAAGATATGCTGGTACATAAACTTTCTCTTCTCGTGCAGCTTGAGCTCAAAGCGCTCGGCGCGCGGCGAGTTGGTGTTGGGCTCAATATCCAGGATGTTGCAGATAACGTTGGCCCAGGTCTTGAGGTTTGTGTTGGCATGCGCGTCGGCGCACTCACGGATGGAATCACCAATGTCAGACTGGTTGAACGGGAGGTCATCAATGCCTGGCATGTACGCGCTCGGGCCGAACAGGGAGACGCAGTACGAGCAAAACATGTCCGAGAACGGCCCCAGGGCCCAGTTTTCAAACTTGACGTGGATGTGTTGCAGAATGCCCGGCGTGCGCGCGACGGTGCGCCCCAGGACGGCCGGCTTGATGCGGTGCTTGACGAGCTGTGCCGACGTCATGGTATCTCCGTTGTCCGGCTTGATCTTGGCGTAGGCGAGCAGGACGGCAATCTCATGTTCTCGCAGCACGTCGGAATCCGTGGCCAGCATAGGCAGGACGCGGCACGCGGCGAACAGCTTTGCCCAAGCCTCGTCGGTAGGGCCCGGGTAGCCAAAGCCGCAGATGTACTGGACCCAGGTGACGAGGTCGAGCCTGCCCGTCTTGCGGATGTCGCGCTCCGAGGAGAACTGGGCCAGGGCCTTTGCGACGTCCGGCTGCTCGGCGCATGCGGCGTAATGGGAGTGCGGGCGCTCGAGCGCGGCGGCGACGAGCACGGCGTCGGCGGCGGCGGTGGCGGAGTCGTCTTGCATGGTTCTTTGCGTGGGGGGTCAGCGGGGCTTGCGGTGGTGCGGGGCGGTGGGGCGGTGGGGCGGTGGGGCGGGTGAGGTGGGGAGCTTGAAGCAAGCCGGAGCTACGGCAGCTTTGCCTGATGCTCGGCAACAAGATGTGGTTCCGCAAAACCAGATAGGGAGGTCGCCACAGCGGCACGGGTGGACAGGCTGGCCGTGAGATGTTGTCCAACGCTGTACACACGGCGCTGTCGAGAATGTGACGCGCATATGCGTCCCCGCTCTCATTGGGTCAACCGATCGCCGTTTCCGCGCTTCAGAGAAGGAAAAAGTTATTCTGCCTCCAGCACGTCCGCTCAACACCCCCCCGCCGCCTCCGCGTTTTACAACTATTACACGTTTAAACCACGTGTCAACGTGTCATCCCTGTCGCTTCCTCACCCCTTGCCCCCAAAGCTCCCCAACCTCGTCATCTCTTCCTGTCACCGCCTGAACCACCGGCCACACAACCGCCTTAACCCTCTCCGCCACCTCCTCCATTCGCCCGCTCCCTTCCACAACGCTCCACCCCTCCCCCTTGAGCCGATCAAACACCGCTCCGACCCTCTTCTGCGTCTCTGCTTCCTCAAACCGCTCACCCCCAAACCCCTCTCTCCCCCTCGCCTCGTCCACGCCGACCTCCAGAAACACGACCACGTCCGGCCGGGGCAGCCCCTCGTCCGCCGCGAGGCACCACTCCATCCCGAGCCCCTTGGCCACGGAGTACGCCACCCCTGAGTACGCGTACCGGTCGTACACCACCGTCTCGCCCCTGCCCAGCGCTTCGCGTATCGTTGCCGCCTTTTCCCACCGGTTGGCCGAGAAGAGTAGATGCGCAGCCTCGTCCCCCAGTTCCGTCTTGCTCGTCAGGTACGTATTCAGCACCTCCCCGATCGGCGTCGTCCGATCCGGGAACCGCCACGGCAACCCGGCCGCAAGCTTTACACCCGTGCGTGACAGCCCCTCCACGCACAAGCGCGTTTGCGTCGTCTTCCCGCAACGATCCAGCCCTTCGAACACGATCAGCGTACCGCGTGGCATCTGGGAAGTGGGGTCGGCAGCGGTGCGTCGGTGAACCGGAGCTCGGCGTACGGATTATGACGACGAACAAAGCTAGGCTGATATCGCTTGCTTGATCCAATGCGCCGGAACTGATACGTCATACTGTAAGCGTTTGACGGGTTCTGTAAGAAGTCAACGTAACAAGTCAACTCACAGTTCAAATTTACAGTACAGCGTAGGAGTGGTAGGAGTGGCACGGTTTCTCTTTAGAGTTTCCCTTGCGCAGAGATCCATAGCAATTACTGTAGAGTGCCGACGACGGCAACATTTCGAAATCTTTATGTTTTTCAGAGGTTTCTCTTTAGAGTTTCCCTTGAGCAGAGATCCATACATCTCCGGTTTCCTTAATGCTCACGTCTACGGGAGCTACTTATCCCTCATTCCGCAAGACCGTAACCATTTCTCGTTCGTTTTATGTATATTCCATGGTAGCGCTACGCTCAACGCGCAAAGTCAACCTTTGAATCTACTCTACTGTACAGATTACCTTAATGGTCGAACCTTAATGGTCGATATATCAACATCTTATCAAGATCTTCTCTTTCTTCTCTTTCCTTGACCCTACAAAGCCATCGAGCAGCTCAAAAATCCATCCACCCCCACTCCCTGCTCACAACTCACTGTAAACTACTCCAAATCTTACTTCCTCTTAGTCTCACATCATTCAAAGCTAACGTCAAAACCGTCACAGCCTCCAAAGTCGAAGTCACCACCACCACCAACGTCAAACTCACCACCACCACCAACGTCAAACTCATCACCACCAGCGTCAAACTCACCACCACCGTCGCCGTCACCCACATATACGTTCGAATCCCCGTAATTAACCTCGATCGAATTCCCACTCTTCTTCTTGCCATTCAGCAGCTTGGCACCCGCTTTAAGCAGACTCTTCGAGTCCTTGTTGGGTACAAGCATTTTTCCCATTGGCCCAAGTAGTTGCCCCACCCCCGCTTTCCCCACTTGCGTGAGCACTGACGAAACCGCCTGTGCCCCGTGCCCTGCCGTCGCTTTGCTGTAGCCTGCCTGCCTGTACTGCGTCTGCTGCTGCGGATACCCAGAAGCACCCATAGCGTTTCCTGTGCCATATTGGCCGTTTGGGACTTGCATCTGCGGTGCCGTATAACCCGTTGCACCTGCCCCATTCACATTGCCATAGGCACCATTTGGATACATCATCTGCTGCAGCCTTGTCGGCATACCACTTGTTTGGCCATACGCAACGTTCGGATATGGCATCTGTTGTGCCACAGGAGTCGTCTGCTGCGGCGCAAACGAGCCAGTTGCACTGCCATACCCCCCACTGGAATACTGCGTTTGCTGTGCAACTGGCTGCATCTGCTGTTGTGCAGGCGCTATCCCTTGTCCAGGTGGTGGGAAAGGCGGCATCTGCGGCATCTGCGGCATCTGCGGCATCTGCGGCGGTGCAGGCGGTGCTGGTCCTATATTTTGAACATGTGCGGGGTAGGACGGCCTCTGCTGCTGAGCAGGCGCTGTCCCTGGCAAGGGTGTGGGGAAGGGGGCTGTCTGATACGCAGCCATCCCCCCGCCCGGTCGCGTCTGGTTCCCGTACTGGTGTCCCCCGTGTTGTTGCTGAGCTGGGGCTTGGGCTTGCATCTGAGGTGGCCGTCGTTGTTGTGGCTGTGGCATGGAAGCGGGCGCTGTCTGCACGTAAGGAACGGGGATCTGGGGGCCGGTGAACACGTCCGGCGCGCTGGCATTTGACTGCGCGGGCCCAGGGTTTGGCCTGTACTGGTTGGCAGGTGCGTTGGGCTGAGGCTGCGAGTGAGGCGGTGCGAGATTTTGCGGCGTGGCTGCATTCAGTTTTGGATGCGTGGGAGGGCTTGCATACATGTTCGGCCCAAGTTGTTGCCCTGCATGCCCTTGCATAGTGGTGCCATATTGGTGCACTGATTGCCCTTGCATGTTTGGCGAAAATTGCTGCCCTGGTTGTCCTTGCATACTCACTCCTGTGGGCGGCGGAGGTGGCAAATACTGCGGAGGGGGAGGTACAGCTGGTCTGGTAGGCTGCTGCGGAGGAGGTTGCGGAGTTCGTTGAGGGGTTCCTTGATAAGAAAGTCCCATGGACGCACGCGGTGGTGGGCAAAGTTGCGACTTTCCCGGGTACTCCAGCATATTCGATATGCTTCCCTGTTGTGGCATACTTTGCACTGACGCTCCAGGCTGCGGCATATCGTGGGCAGTAGCAGTGGGTTGGTGCGTACTTTGGGGAGCAACGACTGGCTGTGGTGTGTGCTGAGGGGGAGTGGTCTGTTGCGGCCTTCCTTGAGTTGAGGGGTGCGCCATGCCTTGAGGGGCAGTCGAGGGGTGCGCCACGACTTGAGGTGGAGCTGGGGGGTGTGCCACGGCTTGGGGTTGAGTTGGGGGGTGTGCCACCGCTTGAGGTTGTGTGGGGGTGTGTGCCACGTCTTGAGGTGGGGTCGGCGGGTGCGCCATGACTTGAGGGGGAGTTGGGGGGTGCGCAATGTCTTGAGGCGGAGTTGGGGGATGCGCTACGACTTGAGATGGAGTCGGCGGGTGCGGGCCATGGTGTGGGGGTGGGGGATGTGCGTACGGCGCTGCGGTGCTCGCCCCAGAAGTCGCTTGTGGCCCCGGGCCCTGCGGCGCAGGCCGCGGCGCCAGTTGTGCCGCGCTCTCCAGAGGCCGCACCGGTGCGGCAGTCGCCACGGGCGCGCCCTGCACATATCCGGGGGCGAAAACCGGCGGCGCGGGCTTTCCAGCAGGGCTGACCGATGGCCCGGAACTCGGGCGATCCATCGTCTGCGACAGACTCGGCGACGGCGGAATGCTCTGCGGCGGTGTGCTGCTCGACTCTGTGGAGCTTTTCGACGAATGCTGCCTCTGCGGCGGGAAGGAGGACGTCGCGGGCGGCGCCTGCGGCCTTTGCGGCGCCACCGCCGGAGGGTTTGTAGGCACGTGCGGGTAGGGATACAGCTGCGGCTGCCCGGGCGACGGCGTGCTGTTCTGTGACACAGGGGACTGCCAGTCGGGAGGCACTGCAAGCGGGGCAGGCCGGGTTTGGTATGGCGGCGAGTTGAACGAGCCAGGAAGGGCCTGCGCAGAATGGTCGGGCATCCTCCCTGGAGGGATGAACGGGCGCGCATGGCCGGGCATTTCCTTAGGGTGACGGTGGATGAAGCGAGGGTTGGGCGGCGCGGGAGCGGAGGGCGGGGCAGCGTCGGGCGCTGACAGGGGGCTGGTGTGCGCGGACGAGAAGGGTGACGACGAGAGGGCTGACGGCGGGCCCCGTGGCGAGCCGCCCTTCGGAGGGGGCGAGCTCGGTCTGGCGAGGGTGGGAAGCGCCGGGCATGACTGCGAGGGCAGCTGAAGTGAGGCGGATGACGCGCCCGGGAGGGCCGAGGTGCTCTTCGACATGGCGCGGTTGAGCGCGTCGTCGTCCTCGTTGGTGAGTTTTGGCGGGCGGCGGTCGACCCAGGAGACGGAGCCGTCGCGGCGGATGTCGCGCTGCCCGAGCTTGACGTGGTCGCACTTGGCCAGGGCCTCTCGCACGGGGTTTGCGACGAAGTAGGCGTTCTGCAGGTGCAGGAGGGCGAGGACGGCGCGGTCGACGACGAGCAGGCGGGCCTGGTCGATGGTCTCCATGGCGGAGTAGAGCTCGAGGGTGAGGCGGTCCAGGGCGAGGGCCTTGTCGTGTGCGTCCTTCTTGTCCTTGTGGGCGGTGTGGGCCTTGGCGGCCTCGAAGCGGTTGGCGCGAACAGTGTCCGCGCTGTGGATGTCGGCCAGCAGGGTGCGGATGTCGTGCTTGACTTTTGCGACGTCGGTGCGCGCGGCCTCCGCGCGCGTGCCGCTCCCCGGGTTGGCGTGGGCGCGGCCGCGCTGGAGCGCGGCCATGCAGGTGTGGGCTTCGACCTCGACCGAGGCGTAGAGCGCGCGAGCGGAGACGGAGAGACGGTCGTACGACTGGAAGATTTTGCCCCACGCAACCTCGTTGTCGGCTAGGACAGCGAGAAGGTCGTTGAGGTCCCTCTTCCAGGCTGTGAGGACGGCTGCCGTCTCGGCGTGCGAGGCGTCCTTGCGGTGGACGGCCTTCTTTTCCCCCCCCCATAGCGACGTAGTGACTTTCATTTTCTGCATCATGACGGCTGTTGAGGGGGGCGGCGGAGGGCGGTCAGGTCGCCATAGGGGGAGGCTGAGATGGTGAGCGGAAGACGTGTGCGACCGGCACGGTTTGGTGGGATGCGAATATACTGTACCAAAGGGTACGGCGTGAAGCGAGCTGTACTGTAGGAGCTCGTCGACGAGAAGGGACAACAATGCAGGCAGGCCGTACTGTAGCGAAAACACAAGCGGATACCGTAATTTACCCGTAATTTACTGCCTCTTATTGGGCTGGCCTCGAGAGGACGCGAACGGGCTGGCGACTTGGTCAAGTTAACGTCGTCAAGTACTGTACGTGGGTGGACGGCGTGGCGAAACTGTAAGAATGGCACTGTGCACGGCCGCAATTGGGTGGGGCGTGAGTAGGGTGACCAATTGGGAAAGTGATCAGGATAAATTACAGCGCGCCCTCCACGAACGCAGCTATTATGTAACCCTCCACGAACGCAGCTATTATGTAACTGTGCGGTACGGAGGGGGGCAAGTCGCACCTATCACTCCACAGGGTCTCCGAGATAGAGCTTTTTAGGTGTCGCGCCTATCATCGTGTCACCTATCACTCCACAAGGTCTCCGAGATAAGAGCTTTTTACGGGTACGTGGCCCGGCCATGCCACTACGGTACGGTGTGCGGCATCTCTCTTGTTCTCCAAGCGCCCTTCACTGTACAACTGTAATACGTGGCAAACGTGTAAGAGTACACAGGAGTATACTGTACCGGTACTGTAAAAGCAATATCTCATAACTTTACTGTACAGTATATCATACTCTTAGATGTACCCTTCTGTACCCCTTCTGAAGGGTACACGTGTTTCCAACTCACCTCATGAGATCCGTGGGGGATCTCCTGATGTTGACATCCATCCTGATGCTGACATCAGGATGTCAACATCGGGATGTCAACACCTTGTTTCTTAGCTCCCATGCCACACGTCCCCCACCACCGCCATCCCCACCGCCATCCCCACTGCCGACACCTTGCCTCTTTGCTCCCATGCTACCCGTCCCCACCACCGCCATCCCCACCGCCGCAATCCCCACCGCCGCCACCCCCACAATCCCCTCCCCCGCA